AAAATAATAAACATTTATAAAACATTATAATAACATTAAATAAATTTAAATATGCATAACACAGACATAAAATTCAATAAACTGCATTAGAACTTTTTTTTTTATAAACAACTACTTGAAAGGTGAAGTGGCTATATGTGTCACATGACTTAATAGCAAATAAACAGATGCGCACTAATTTGCTGCCATTACATATTTTGAAATAAATGCAAGGAAGAAACAAGTATGTATAATAAAAAATATACTTATTATTTTGAAAAAGACTGCACTTATTTTAATCTATTACTCTAAAATTTTACACAGTGTGTTAATTATCAAGCCTAGTGGAACAATAAACCTTTCATAATCTTTAAATTTTAATTATTAATTTTGTATTAAAAATACATTTTATCAAAGAAATATTTCTTTTAATGTAAAGTAGTAAAACATATCTATTGATTTCAAAAAATACTTTAAATCAGGATATATTCACATTGACATTTTTGGTGCTTTTCATTCATTTTTTGGGTTGGAAAATTTTTTACTTATTACTAATAATTAATAAAAAAAATATTATTATTATTTTGAAAAAAATTACACATATTTTAAGCTATTACTCTGAATTTTCACACAATGTGTTAACTATGATGCCCAATGGAACAATAAACCTTCTTCTACTGTCTTTAAATACAAATTAAAATGTGTAATTATTAATAAAATTGATAACATTGTTAATGTTACCTCATCATTTTCTGTTATGAACTGCTTTTAAAAGAAACCCAATGGTTTTAGGTGGTCTAGTGATAAATAAAAACTTAGGCTTTTACTTACCACAAATGTTCACATTTCAGAAAGGCAAGAGGTCTATTTATTAAATATTATTATTAAAATGCCGACAACTGTTTACAGTTTACTGGTATGAATCTTATAGCCAACCAAACAGCTGGACCCTGGGATCTCATAATTAGTCTATAAATGTGACTTGACTGAAGGAAAAACACAGAGTAGTTGGCACTAACCTTTGAGATCCTCAAAAGTCTAAGGTAAAAACTGTAAAAAAATAAGCAGCTCTTTATACCACACAACAAAAAAAACATAAGTAACTGAATTGTTGGTGTCTATGAAACAAAACAAAAAAAAAAAAAAAAAAAAAAAAAAGTCGGAGTACAAGTGACAAAAAATTTAGCAGCACAGAAAATGGAATCAACGGGGTTCCAACAACAACAACTGAGATAATGCCCATTTTGCACTAAAAGTGTAGCAGAGTTGGGTTGAGCCGCCAATTGTTGAAGCTGGTAAACCTCGTACACACTCCAAAGTGGCAAAGAGGCTTATGGCAAACAATGAATTAAAAGTGGTAAGTGATGTAAAAATCTTATTTTATGATGCGAGTCCTAGGAGAAAAATAAAGGAAAATTGTTGATTATATCTATGACAGGGAGACGATACTGAAAAATAAATAAATGTTAAATGAAATTAGTCAAGAAGAGACTGAGGACTACAGTGAAAACTGAACCAGTGGAAAACATACTGTTATCTGATCATCTAAAGACTAAAAATGCCAATCTCACCTACTTCACCCCATACTTAAGTGGGTTGAGATGACGAATAGAATCTGGACAGTTTCAACCTTCCACTAAGTTACTTAAGGGACAGAATCATAAATCCTGTTATGAAAAAAAGATGGCCAGGAATTTTACAAAGAACTTGGCTATCAAAGCATCTGGTTTTTAAATAACATATTCAGAGCCATTGAAATTTATGAGCAATTCCACTTAATACATTAATTTTGTTGAAATCTATGCAATATCAATAAATAAAATTGGTACGTAGGTGAAAAACTTGGTCAGTTTGTTCTCTCTTTGTCCAGAGTAGTTTAGAGATTGTTGATAGTCACATAATCAATTTCTGAACAAATGCTGTTGCTTTGTAACACAGGGAGATTTGTAAAAAATAAATAAATACATATCCACAATCACAACCAAGAAAATATTGACAAATTTAAGCAAAAGACGATTATTACCCCACTTGTAGATACTATATAAAACTGTAAAAAAAAAAAGTGTAAATAAAGCACTTTGATTGTGTTTTGAAAAAAATCTAAAAGAACCATTTTTGCGTATGAACATTTACCAGAATCTCACTTGAGGTCATTTCGAATGGTGCTGAGAGACTTCAAACTTAATCATTTAATAAAATCATAACACAACTTAGGGCAACTTTGATCTTTGATTTTGGTAGGAAGAACATCTCCACTTCCAGCAACCCAAACAATGACCATAATTTTGATAACCATGTGAAAAGTGATAGGACCACAAAGGCCAGAATCGTAATAAATACTGCAACTGGCATTGAAAAAAGTTATTTTTAAAAATTCACATACAGTAATTATGAAAATTAGTTAGAGTGATTTTGATAGAAAAAAAAGAAAAAATAACCGAGAATTTTTTTTTTTTTTAATTCTATGAAGAGAATTTAATTTTTGTTTCTGTATTTGTTTCGTCTAAAACTAAAAAAAAGTTAGAATGAATATTTTCTAAAAATTGTTTGGAAGCAACAATCGAATCAATATTGCAGAACTAAATCAAGATTGTCAGTGTATTTTTAAAAGAATTTGGTACAAAAAAAAAAAAAAAAAAAAAGTCTGTGATTGCACTCATATATAGAAACTCTGGGCAAGGCCAGGTACTTCTGCTAATTATTGAAAACAAAAAAAAAACAGATAGTAATGCGCAATTGTGTAATGATAGGTAGGGAAATGTTATGAAGTTACCACTGAAATGAAATCGTACGAAAAATAGACAGAAAATGAAATTATTAAAGAGTAAAAAGACTAAAAAAAAAAAAAAAGTAAACTGTTTTCTGAAATCGCTCTCTAGTCAAGCTAGACTAGAAGAGAGAGGATAAAATCCTATGTACTTGTACAAAATTAAAAACATTAATATTTTCGATTATGCAAATAGAGTAATAACCGGCCTACTATTTTTGAGAAGTTGATTTTGATTTCAAGGTTTATAAATTTCTCAAAAAAATCAAAAACAATAAAATACTTTTCTGTTCGTCGCAAGATATTTATCATTAAAGAATAACATAAGACGAGTTATCTCGTCCTTGGCATCAAATACTAACAAGTTTAAAATTTCAAGTCAAAATTAGTTGGCATCAAATATGGATCTGAGAGAATAATCAGAAAAAGAACCAACGTTTCCAAGTTTGTTTTTGTTCCTATCAAAGTCAAGATTGCTTCCTTGTTTGTCTTTATCTTTTTAAGTTTTTGTTGAGGCTTCTCTTCGTACTTTAAAAAAAAAAAATAGCAGATCGGTGATTGCCATTTTTGCATAATCGAAAACATTTTGCTTTACTTTCGATAATCCCCCCCCCCAATTAAAAAAAAAAGGTTCTGGCACAATACAATACTAACAAAAAAAGTAAAGTAGTTTAATTATGTAAATTATTTGATTATTATTCTGGTTAAATTTCCCAAGTTATTTTTAAAAAGTTTGCAATTTTGACACAAACGGAAACAAAAGTCGAAAAAAAAAAAAAAAAAAAAAAAAAAAAAGAAAGAAATGACTTGTTCTCAAGAGTGATTTTTAAAAAATATCGAATTTGAAATTTGGTTATTCTTGCGCTAAAAATTGACATTTTTTTTTTTTTTATTATTTACTTCACTTCGTCTTAACTTACGTTATTGATTTTACTTTTCCTTCGGCAGTTGAAAACAAAAAATTTTCAAATTTTATGCCTAAAAACTTTAAAAAGTAAAAACTAAACAGCACAAATTAGTAACCAGTAGTTAAAGTATTTTCTCATCAATTATTTTTGTGTGTTTATTTTGCAATTTTTTAAGCAATATTTATTTTATTTTATTATGAAATGCATCGAAGATTCCAATTTTCCAAAATTTAACATGCAGAAAAATGGTAACACGCAAAAATTTTAAAGTCACTTTTTAATACTTTCCGGAGAAAAGTTCTAAATCTTATTTTTGTGAAAAAAGTTTCTTAAAAAAGTATAAATTTCATTTGTGACCCAAGATAAGTCTCCTCGGCTACGAAAAGATTTAAAAATGAATTTTTGTAGGTGTTTTCTTTCGAAAGCTTATTTGATGAATCTGTACAACAGGCACTTCGACCAGAAATAGTCATCTTTTTTTTCTTCTGTTTTTCAGTAAAAAAGTAATTGAAGCCCAAAAAACAAATATCTCATTCTCATGTGATTTCTTAAGTTAAAATGAAAAAAAAAACCATAATCAAAGATGCTTTAATCGATATTCGATAGTAATGGAATAAGCACTCAATAATACGAATTTCAATTTTTCTACATTCTAAGAAATCATATGGCATGAGCATATTGTGTTTTGGTTTCCGTAGAGGTGGGATCAATTTATACTGGATTTTAGCAAGATCTATTAACTTAAAAAAAAAAAAATGATATTCCTGATCTAAGGTGTTTAAATCATTCTATAAAACTATATAATATGAAAAAAAATTATTATTTCTGGTTGCAATGCCTATTGTACAGATTGATGGGGAAAAATAAAAATATTTTTTTTTAATTTAAATTTATTATTTAAGGTTACAAATTAATTAAATAATTTACACCAGCACCACTAAGATTTTTCTCTCGACTCTAAAAAGTACACTTATATTGAGAATATAAATTAATATATCAGTAGTAGTGACTAAAAAAAACTATGGTAAAAAAAAAAATCCATTATTCGTTAAAATAAAATATTTAAATAAAAATATAAATGCTAATAATTGCATGGACAACGAGATTAAGAGTTTGATAAAAGTTAACTAGTTATTTATTTCAAGATCAAATATAACAGTGAAAAAAAAATAAATAAGAATTAAAACTAATCTCGTTTGACATTTTAAAAATCGATTTATTTCAGAATTTAATTTTTTTTTGACAACTTGAAAACAAGTTAAAGACAAATCACGTAAATATTTTATTAAATCTTCCACACATAAGAATATTAACATATTACTTAAATTAAAATAATCTACACTTACTGTTTAATATCCTCAGTATCCTTTATGTCCATTCTGATTTTTATTTCTGTTTCAAAGCAACAAATAATGAAAATATTCCGTAGAGTTCAAAACAGGCGCCATTAGCAACAGTAAAATTTATCGCATGTTCCTTACGTTCTGCACAAAAATACTATGACAATAACAAAGTGAGAGAAAAAAAAGCAGTTACTTATATGTGGTCTTACATAATGAATTACTTTTATTTGGAAGCATAATACATTTATATCAAGCTTAATAAATATTTGAACGTTACTATATAATAATACTAAAACTAAGCTACGAGGCCGCTTATGATCAATCAATCAATGCAAGACACGAGAGATGGAATTCCTTTAAGTTTTTTTAGTTTTTACTTTCCTATTTTTTTTTTTTTTATTTATTTATGACTTAATTTTTTTCCTGTCACTTCATATGTTAGTAGAATCTGTTTATAATATATATTTTTTTATTTGTTTTATTCACTTAAAAGCACATCTAAAGTTTGACAACGAATGTTGTTTATAAAAGAGCTTTTCTTTCACTTTTCTTTCATTGACATTCAGAAATTTTATTTATTTATTTATGTATCATTACACAATTGAATAAATTTAAATACAATTTCTGAAATTATTTATATTTACTATTGAACTTTGTTACCAAGTAATATCCTTAAGAAAAAAGGGAATTTTCATCCTCAATTTGGGTGAAATACTTTTTTTAAAAATTTGTGATATGGAAGTAAGAGCAAGGTGGTAAGTGATCAGAATCACCGTATTTTTGTTACAAAAAAAATTTGCAATATAAAACAATAACATCAATTAAGGAAGTAAAATACTTTCGTTTTCCTGTCGATCAATCAATCAAATATTGCCGCTTACGTGGCACAAGGCCAGAAGTATGGAGCACCCAATAAGGATTGAATTAACTTTTTTTCAGTTGTAATTTTTCTAGCTAGACAACCTTGCTAACCATAAGTTACACCACGTCGAAGTATCCTATGGAAATGGAATGGATCAATAAGTCCGTAGATTTGTTGACTGACACCTTGTTAAACTCTTTCTTTCGGTACCTGTCGCTTCGCTGACTGCCAGATCAAATTTCAAATATAAAAAAATTGGGTAAATTTGCAGATAATGCCCCAGTGACAAATTTTTTAAAAAAATATCTTTCCTGGTGTAAAAAAGATATTCCTAAAATTGTCACTGGGGCATTATTTGTAATCGAGGCCAGTAAACTTTCGCGCAGAATCGAGGGACCCAACTAAAATTGTCAGTATCTCCTCAACGGTAGATTTCCGCCAATTTTAAATGTTATTTTTGGAATAATCAGGCGATTTTTACACCAGAGATTTTTTTTAAAAATTTGTCGCTGGGGCATTATTTGCAAATTTACCAAAAATTGTCCATTTAAAAATCGATCGTTTTCTGCTGACATGTGGCAGATTTTTCCAAAACCCCATCGTTCTAGGCAATTCTGCTAAGAAGCTACTCTTTATTCCTCACAGATGCGCACATAGTACGAAGGGAAATTGCCGCACACAAACTACTACACACAATGGCTATTTGTACGTCACTGTGAATTGACTTTTTTGTACACTTTTATTTATTTTTTTTATACAATGATGTACACCCTTTACAAGAGCCACTCGAGGTAGAGGATTACATATAAAGAGGCACAGTTTATGAGGATAAGATAACAGTTGACCCTAGGTTAAGGTTGTAGTGATCGGAGAAGCATCCTCTTGGGAGTTAGTTCTATAAAGCAGTAGTTTGTGGGAAGAAGCTGTTTGAAGCTGTTTACATCTCATCAGTGGAATACAAAGGAAATGAGGGTAGTTTGCTACAGCGTGCATAGCATGGTGGGCCTTAGCCATGAAAGTTAGAACTGGTGGAACTAAGGAATGTAGTTTGCCTGAACACTTTCCATGGAAATAGTGATAGAGTGGTGAGAGGCTTGTGACATTTCACCTGTGAGAAAGGGGTTGTAGGGTGGAAAATAATTCATCACCCACAAGAGGCTTTTGGACTCTATCGAAACTGGAGAGTGAAGACTGGAAAGCTCCTACGTAGATATGGCAGCAGTACTCCTTTTCTAGCTCTTGTAAAGGGAGAGAATAACAGGAGTCAGGTACTTACTGGAATGGTACAGGGAACTGACCATTTTTCCAGCATCTTTAATAATGGATCATATGTGCTACTTGAGTTCTGGGTTGAGCTTAAGTCATAATAGGCGCTTAAGGCACAGAGCCAAACTGAGAAAATATCTGTTCATTGTAATAGGTAAAACTTCAGGGTCTGATTAGTGATGATGGAATGTCACTAGTTTGGTTTTTGAAGTATTGAACTTTCTTAATTAAAAATACTGTACATCAAAGAATGTTTCAAACCAAACTTTAAACATTACCTATATAATTTATAGAAAATAAATGTGTTCTTTTGATTAACAAGTCTTTATTTTCTTTTGATCTCTATGGATGCATTCTAGGTCGGATGTGATGACCAAACTACAACACAATCACCATAAAATAAATAAAAGTAATATCTGTTCAGCAGGATGGCAAAAGAAATGTTAATTTGAATTTTCTTAATATTTCATTTTTATTCACATCGAAACCAAGTAGGGATTTTTATAACACACAGTATTTTCAGTAAATGATGTTAATGTTTCTTCTTAACTTTAAACATGAAAATTCACATACTAAAAAGTACTATGCATACCTCAGAAAAAAATGAACCTTATAAGATACACTTACAAAGACCAACATACCCAATCTGATAAGCATATACTGGGTACATGCAGGGCAAGTGCAGTGGTAGACAGCTATCCGACCCCGTTTTTATGGGGAATTTTTGCTCAAGCCTACAGGCTCGGATACCCCACATTAAATTCGGCCTTGTGTTACATCTGACCACATGGGGCAGTTGGCAAATATTCTTGCTTCAGCAATTAGTTGGAGATTCATCTTCAGCTGTGCTGGTCGAACTCTCTGCCTTCAGGTAGAGAGGGACCCAGACAAGGTTATGCCGAAGGGCAGAGTCTCATCTGGGGTGGTAGACAGCTACCCGACCCCATGTATACTGGGTCTACAGGGAATTTTTGCCTGAGCCTATGGGTTCGGTTTTGTCCCGCATTAAAAAACGGCAGTGAGGTAAGGTAAATAACCTTGCTTGGTAACCAATTCCCTGTCTTTCAGTAGTGTATTCTCTTTTACAATAAACCTCTCTTTCTTTCATCTATGCCTGTGTTACTGTTCCTTTCACTGGAGTACCACCTTTGTTTGTAACCTCTCTAAGGATACAACAAACCTAATTATGTACAATAAGGGATCATATGCAATACAGGTGAACAATTCAACTAGAAAAACTGAAAATAAATACAATGTATCTAAAATACAAATTACAGACATGTCATAATACATCATTCGATCTTAAATAAATCAACAATGTTTTTGCGGCAATTTTTAACATCTACTGGAGATTTCTTTTCATAAAAAGTTGAATAATTTTAACACATTTAACATTGTAGATGAAAAATTTTATATAGCATTTCTTTTTAGACTTAACATGAACAAAACAAATTCACCGATTTGGACGAACAAAAAAAGAACCTAGAATGACGTCAAAATCCGCAAAATTTTTCAACCTTTAATAGTTGGTTGTGCTTAGTTTAATTTGTAACGTATCTAAATGTAGGTAGAAAGAAGTGAATGCTGATAAGATAGCAAGGGTCACAAAGCACTGCCAGGGTCCCCTCTGGTCAGTGGGTAGCACACACCAGCAACTAGATACATGCATCACTGTTAAATGTCAGGTTTTGATAAAAGTATCACATAACCTTATAGGTGGAATCCACTGAGAAATACCTTCAGGTTGAGTACCCCAGTTTGCTTAGATGGTCTCTGATTATTATTATTGAGTGAAAGAACAGCATACCAACAAAGTGATGTTAGGGTAACCTAATATACTCATTATGACACCCAGTCCATACCAAGCACATGCAATACAGCCAATGATGATAGGTTTTCATAAAAGTAGCACATAATCAGAACGGTTTAGATTTCAATTTTCTGCTCAGAAGTTTGGGTTGTAATTTGGCCTAGAACAATCCAGGAAAATCACTGATAATTAACATCTGATAAAGTTGTTCTCTTTCATACATTTTCTTTTAATAAAGTTCACTCCAAGCAAGGCAGTAAAGCCCCTAAGACACAAGGGGTTACTGGGTGTGGAAGACTTAGAAAACAGAAACAGTACTAAGGACCAAGAACAAAAGAATAATCAAGAGGACAGTAGATATTGATTGGCATTGAATTTAAATTTTTGAAGATTAAAGTTGACTGGAAAGCACAGAGCTAGAAGAGTTCCACAAGTGAGAAGTGCAAGAAAAGAAAATGTTAGCATAAAAACTTATGATTACATTTAGCCAACTCAACTCTAAAATGATGAGACTAATCTAGTACTGTGCTTAAATTCCTAAAGTCTAACTACCATAGTGAAGAGTGATATTTATTTCCACTTAAATACAGATTATATGGCAAGTCCAAAAATGGGGAACGGGGAAAGGGACAGTCTTGTTCTGTCTTAACTTTAAACTTAACTAGCCACAAACACTGACCCAAACATACGACAATATTCCTAACATGAAAACAACACATTTTTATTTACCTTTCTTACTACACAACATAATATCTCATTCTCTCCATGAAAATCCTAACTCCATATGAACAAATCATTGTCAGGTTAATAAAACAACAATTTAAAAACTAGCCCCAATGAGTATTTACAATATGAAAACAAAACTATATAAAAATATATAATAAATAGTGTTAGTAATAAAACCCTGACAGTTTCTAAATGTGGCAGAAACATCAGTTAACTGGACAAAATTAATGCAGGACTATAATAATTTTAAAACATTCATTCATCCCAAGCATTCACACAAACACACACTGATTCAGACACAACAACAAATACAAAAAACACCCCCAAAATGAAAGGCAACCCTCATCCACCAGAGAACTGACATCACTGAC